GAGTTTGTTAGCTCTAAACTCGGAAACTACTGAACCGATTGCTTTCAAATTTTCACACAACGTTGCCTCTCACTCAAAGCGTGAATTTTTGACATAAAATCGCACAAATTACGAACGACGTAGCTCCAGCAACGGTCAAATCATTTTTTTTGTTTCGTAGCCCGCCAGGATTTGTTTTTAGTCGATTGGCCACCTTTGGCTGTGTAACACCGAACTTTACATTATTATTAAAGATATTCATTTCTACGTAATGCTTGAGTATTTAGTAGCATAGTTAGTTGTAAGCATTTCGCCTTTTACACGGGTGATAGGGGTTCGATTCCCTGCTGGATGATATAATTTCTTTTTTTGTGTGTGCCCGTAACTGGGTGGTTGCCACGTTTTGTTGTGGTTTATAGCTTGGCTGCAATATCTACGCTTTTTATAACTGGGTTGGTGCGAGATAGAATGGGGGATTGGGGGGGGGGGGGGGGTGAGGGTTATGACAGACACTGTTAGCTGAAAGCTTTTTTCTTTCTTTTCCACCATTCTCTGCAACAACAACGCATGGCCGGGCACAGCTAGTTGGTTTTAAAATAGTAGGAAAAATGTATTTTTAACACACTGTATTGTCTGCAATTAGAACGTTTTCCTTAAGTTAAGTTTAGTGACACATTCTGCACAGCCCTACAAAAAAGGAAGTTACTGTGAGTTTAGAGACTTCTGCCGCTCTGAAGGTCATGTGTTTAAATCTGGATTTTTGTTTCTGGCATGACATTGGCTTCCATGTAAATCCAGACTTGAAATAGGTACAAGCTTAAGTCCTGGGAAGTACATGCGGCCGGCGTGATTTTTATCATATTACCCATCAATCGGCCTCTAAAAATATTAGTCTACCATCAAATGCCTGATGTGCCTCTAGAGTGTAAAAGGGACATTTGCTTGGAGAAAGAATTGTTTAAACATTTAAAAAAAATTTTACACCTGGTTTTGCATAAAAAGGATCTGCTATGTAAATAGGCCATTTATTTTTCTGTAGCTGCTCTAATTGTTTTCATCATCATATTGTGTCCTGATGTTGGCGTAGGCGCTGACGCATCTCCACAGATCACGATCCCTGGATGCCTTAAACAACTCTCTTAATGATATCCCTCCATGCCAACGTTTCGGCTTATCCAGAATGATCTCTCTTGGTCTGCCTCTACCAATCTTTGAAGCTGTCACGATGTTTTTCAAAGCCTATCTTCTCATTACGTGCCCAAAGAACATTGTTTGTGTCCTTCTTATTGTTGTATAAAGAAAATGTGTGTATTTTTTCATATAACTACAGTATAAGTCTCTAGCAAACTGTTGCTGTTAAACAGCGGAGTCTGTCGATTTGAAAAAGAAGAATAAATAGAAGAAGAAGCAGAAGAAGAAAAGGAAGAAGAAGAAGAAGAAAAAGAAGAAGAAGAAGAAGAAGAAGAAGAAGAAGAAGAAGAAGAAGAAGAAGAAGAAGAAGAAGAAGAAGAAGAAGAAGAAGAAGAAGAAGAAGAAGAAGAAGAAGAAGAAGAAGAAGAAGAAGAAGAAGAAGAAAGAAGAAGAAAAGAAGAAGAAGAAGAAGAAGAAGAAGAGAAGAAGAAGAAGAAGAAGAAGAAGAAGAAGAAGAAGAAGAAGAAGAAGAAGAAGAAGAAGAAGAAGAAGAAGAAGAAGAAGAAGAAGAAGAAGAAGAAGAAGAAGAAGAAGAAGAAGAAGAAAAAAGAAGAAGAAAAGAAAAAAGAAGAAGAAGAAGAAAAAGAAGAAGAAGAAGAAAAAGAAGAAGAAGAAGAAGAAGAAGAAGAAGAAGAAGAAGAAGAAGAAGAAGAAGAAGAAGAAGAAGAAGAAGAAGAAGGAGAAGAAGAAGAAGAAGAAGAAGAAGAAGAAGAAGAAGAAGAAGAGAAGAAGAAGAAGAAGAAGAAAGAGAAGAAGAAGAAGAAGAAGAAGAAGAAGAAGAAGAAGAAGAAGAAGAAGAAGAAGAAGAAGAAGAAGAAGAAGAAGAAGAAGAAAAGAAGAAGAAGAAGAAGAAGAAGAAGAAGAAAAAGAAGAAGAAGAAAAAGAAGAGACGTAGAAGAAGAAGAAGAAGAAGAAGAAGAAGAAGAAGAAGAAGAAGAAGAAGAGACGACAGTGGGTTACAACCTGGTATCAGTGAAACGACAAAACCAGGACACTGGGCTACAACCTGGTATCAGTGACACGACAAAACCAGGACACTGGTCTACAACCTAATATCAGAGAAACGACAAAACCACGACATTGGGTTACAACCTGGTATCACTAAGACAACAAAACCAGGACATTGGGTTACAACCTGGTATCAGTGAGACGACAAAACCACGACACTGGGTTACAACCTGGTATCAGTGCCCCGACAAAACCACGACACTAAGTTACAACCTGGTATCAGTGAGACGACAAAACCACGACACTGGGCTTCAGCCTGGTACCAATGAGACGACAAAGGAAGAAGAAGAACATTGCGTATCCTGTACTGGACTTTGCAAAACAAACTCCAGCAGCTATAGGCAATTTTGCGGTCAGTAGTGTGTCATGCTTTGTGAATGGCCTGCACTCGATACCATTGTCAAAATCAACACATCTTGGTCTTTTGCTAAATCTCCTGAAGATATAAGCGATCTGAGTACCTCATGAGTAGGAAGCGAGTCCGCAACGCTTAAGCCACTAACGCCGACTTACTGGTATTTACACAAATTTATTTGACACTCTCTTCTCCATTAGGTCAATTATAGGGCAAAAACATTTGCACAAGCAAATCAAGGTTGCATTTCTGGACCAATACATTTTCTAATGTCGGTTCCTTATTTCCCCCTTTCCTTTCCACCAGAGAAAAGAGAAAGGAGACAAACTCTCTTCCTTTAGTACTAGGTGTCTAATTAATGGTGTTTTCCTTCGAAATGCATCTGTATGACAGGAAATTAACCAACAATAAACAGACATGTATGCTAGATCTGTAAAATGGGTGTGTATGCAACGCTTAGGTTCTGAAACAAAACATGCACTAAAACATTCAGAACTTCATTTTCTAATACATCAAGTTCAACTAGACCGTACAGGCGCTCTGACGGAATAAAACACATGTTCAAAACGGGACACAACAAGAACAAGCGTCCGAGCCCTTTAACTGACTAAAGACTACTGATTCTGTCTATTACGGAATTCTACTATTAATTCCAAGGTCTCTGGGTAGTGAGATCGGACGCCCGTGTGCATGGTGACGCACGTAAAAAATCCATTGACAGTTGGAAATCAAAAAGAGTAGCCTAACGTCGCTTCCCTGGCAAAAATCTAGAGTTAAAAATCTACCAAAAGTATTTTATGATCCTCGCCGGTGCTACAGAGCCTGTGCACTGTGCCACGCTTCTTCGGACTCAGGTTTGACTTAGAAGAAGAACAGAGCACTTATGGGTTACTACCCGTGTGCCATGATGTTTATCCTTCGTTCAAATTTTAAACCTCATCCATCAGCGGTCACTATCACATGGATCTGGCAACACACGTGAAATCCGTAAATCTCACACATCATCACCTCCACACTCTTTCAGTGGCCAAAGTAACCACGCTGAATTCTCAGTTAGGTTACTTATATCACGAATAGTAATGTTTATTTTCACAACCTCTGATTTCTGGTATACACGCTCAGTCAGCCCACAACAGTAGCCATCATAGCAATTGCAACTTTAACCCATATCTTGGTCACGGTGTGGGAGGAGTTAACTATTCAGTTACAGAGAACACACACAAAACAGCAAGGGTTTGGAATGTATCGTATAGATTGATTCTTCTTAACTGATTGGAACATGTACTCGACGTTTCAGATTGTATTATATCGGCAGTGTTTTCGTGTTATGAAAGCTTGTCCGGTGTGTCATCATGCATGCTGTTTGTAGTGTGATCTTCTGCTTAAAGTTGCTTGTTCTGTCTGATTGTAGGTAAAGCTTGTCAATGTGTCCTCTTTTCTTTCGTGTGTAGTGTTTTCTGTGTGTTGACTTGATCGTCCTCGTCACTCCAAATAGCTGGAAATGAAATACAATAATGAGATAAACGACTATTCTGAAGTAATGAATCTCTTAGTGTGTTTTTTAACAAGATCCTTTCAACTGCCACATGGTGGGTTTTATGTTTTATTATTGATTATTATGTTTTTTTCGGGGTTTTCATAAATGTATTCTTATTCTGGAAAATTTCACCATCATATAGAAAACTTTTAGAGGGACAGCAGCCTTGATGTTACATACAAATTTGAAGAGTTTCGCGAACAATCTCATCATCTGATATGATTGATCTGCGGGCATGGCGTCCACCTCGAGTCAGTAGTGTTGAAGGTTCCGGGTTCAGGCCCTGGGGAAAGCTGTCATGTTTCGACCTGGACTTCTAGAAATGTCCCATGGTCTCCGGGTAGTAAGACCCGACGCTCGTGTGTATAGTAGCGCACGTATAACATCATTTGCAGTTGTAAATCGAAACTAAAGTCGCTGCCACGGGAAAATTTAGGACTTACAAATCTACCCAAAGTATTTCAGGATTCTTATGCGCTGAGATTCTTCTGACTAAGACTTGAGTTAGAAGAAGAACGGAGCCCTTATGGGTTATTACCCTTGTGCTAGGATATTGATCAGTTACGTAAAGCATCTCATCTCGATCCTCGGCTTCCTTGTCGTGTCGAGGTAAAGTATAATGTACGAAGAAGTGCCCTGTTTGCGCTTCGTAAATGCGATCTCCCAGTGACTCCCTTTTATGTTTTAACCCTCTGATGATGAAGAGGATGATGATGACGACATTCAACCCCACCAGGTAATCACACCTAGCGATAAATAAAAATTTCACTTATAAACTTCATTTCAATCTTGACAGTTGCGATTGCACAAAATAATATGTTGCATTTCTTAGAAGCTAACTAAAGGAAATCAAATTATTTATTGTAGAAAACATTTCGCTTTTGAGAGAGCATGTAATTGAAATACCGTTTGTACATGATGTATGCTTACCGCTTTTGACAAATAGCTCTGCGGTATTCTGTACAGTCGATATCATTCCACTTGTAATTGTCTTCCCTGCGAAATGCCACGCAGTGTTCCGCTACACATGCGGAAGAAACAAAATATGTATATATATATATATATATATATATATATATATATATATATATATATATATATATATATATATATATATATATATATATATATATGTGTGTGTGTGTGTGTGTGTGTATTTTTTTTTTCAATAAATAACGGAATCAACATATTACATTACTACTCGGTACATCCTCATACGGGAGTCGCCGCGGCAGAGCGGCTAGACGCGAGCCGCGGATCGGAAGGTCGTGGGTTCGCTCCCTAGCGGAGCCGGACTTTTCTTAATAAATTACCTTGTCTCCTAGGTCGACCCAGCCTTGAGTGGGTACCGGGTACAGTCCTGGCATGATTCTGACTACATCACCCATATTGTACCGTTGGTCTATAAAATATAGGTCTAGCCCTATATGCCCTTTACGCCTGAAGACGTGGAACAGGGTTCTTTACTTTTTTACTTTTACATCCTTATACATGCTATGTTCCTCCTTAGTAGCCTAAGAAAAGTTCACATACAAAAAGGGTCAGTTGCAAGCTGATTAACAGTTCGACAACCCCCCCCCCCCCTCCGCCCTTTTTTTTCCCCGTGTGTATACAATGTATATCATTGGAGGTTAGGACAGTAATTGACATACGGCCGTGAATCCAGGACAATTAATAAATAAGACGAACAATATCTTGAGACCTCGGAGATGTGGTTTTACAAAAGAATCCTTTCCCTTGAACAGCTAAGAAGAGCAACACAGATGTTTTGAAAGAAGCGAGTGCTCGAAGACAACATAAAACAAACATCAGTAAGAGGCAGTTATCATTTTTTTTTTTTTTTTGCGGTCACTTTTGAGAAGAGGGAACATGGAAAATGTTGCCAATACAGAAATATATGTGGAAAGAGAGACAGTGGAAGTCAGCGGGTGAAGACTCTTGACAGACATTTGTCATGGAATGGAGGAGTGTCACTTCACGAACTGACACACGCCAAATCGTCAGACCCTCGTCCTAATTCTAGCCGAAGCATTCTGTCAGGTTAATGATACTCTTTCTGTGTTGTTTCAATGTTTGCTTGATTCGAAGGAGCCTTGTTACAAAAAACAATTTATTGTCATTTTTACGATGCCACTGCAAAAACGCCAAATAATACTGATGAGAGCAAGAGGGTTGGGGTGTCTTGTGAGAGTTGCCAGAATAATAAGAGAATACACAATTCAAAATGAAGACCTCAGAAGAAGACTGAGACTAAACCAAATATACACATAAAACCTAACAATGGTTAGCTTATCCAGCTGTAAGGACGCCTTTAATGTGTGCTAACAATGCAGATAACATTTGTTATATTTAGGGTGCCTTTGCATAAGGGAAACTGATATACATCTACTCCAATCGAAGTCGCTTTTTTCATAAATGAAACACGTGACAATAGGTACTGCTTGCATAGATTCAAGGAGGCACTTTAACAAGATGTTGAACTTTGAGTGGGTGAAAATAATTAGGACGAACTGTCAAGGTTAAGCGTTCCTAAGCGATTTCAAAATCTGCAGACAGTGTGTATACAAAAAGAAAGAAAAGAGAGGAAACACTTGCTCAAACTGTCAAAGATGATAAGAAAACAAAGACAACAGAGAAAAAAAAATACGTGACATGCTGAAACATTCGGTGGCACTCATCACTTTATATCAAAGTTGAAGAAGCCGGGAGAAGTTCATACCCCAAAGACACAGAGGAAAATATGTCAAGCATAAGTATCATTCTGGAGACAGTTGTCCATAATCACGGAGCAAGGAACATAATCTGTTTGTATCATAGCTATCCATGTTAGAATGTGTGGTGTAGGTCAGGTAGAAATGGGTGATGACATGACACATGATGATGATAATTGTGATGATGTTTTTTTTTAGCCAGTATAGCATGTACTTAGTGCAACTGAAGGTCACTGAAGGTCACACATAGCGATAATACCTCGGGATTACAAATTAGAGTTAAATAATGTCAAACATCAGCAGCTCTCATATCAACACAATGTATACCAGCTCATAAGCTAATAATCTCTGTGAAGAAATGAAATTTCGAACAAGAATAGTGTCAGAGACTAAAGAAATGAATAGCTGCCGAGAACTCTCAGATACTAGGTTCATGGAGATAGTGGAAATCATTAGGGTCATAAAGGTAACCTTAGACTGTCTTCACAGAAAAAAATAAGGCTTAAAGTTACACTCGTTTGTATGACAAAGATGCGAAGTTTAGGCTCCTCTTCGATGTTATTGGACTTTCTTACTGTTTGGACAGGAAACTAAAGCAGAAATGTGAAAGTATATGTGCATTATATATATATATATAGCTTTGATATTCCTGGGAAACAACTATATGAACAGATTTTAGATTACGGAATGTGCGATCCATCGTACCTACTACATACCTGAAGAACCTGTCAAGATCACTGGTCAATATAAAGCTGATAGCGAAACAAAATTAACGTCGTTAATTACTAAGCTCTTTAAAAAAAAGAAAAAAAAAATCCAGAAAGTCTGTTGTGAGTGCATTTGATTTTAACATTCACTAGCTGTGCTGAATCCAGAAACTAATATGTATGCTATAGATTTAGATTCCTTGGCCAAAACAAAAACAAAAATAAAAAAAATCCCTGGAATTTGCACTGAACGCCTGCGAATATAATCATCCTTTCGATAGTTATTCACAAGCCTGTTTAGTTTACACACTTAAACAGTATAAGCCCAGTACCACCCTTTGAATTTTATTTACAAATGGATTAAACAGACTTCCTAATTATACAGGAAATGTCTCTTTAAAAAAGCCCCCATAATTGAGCAATGGATAGTTGTGTATCCTTTACAGGACGTTGCAGAACCAACCTCAACACCCCCTTGCTGTTATGTGGTTTTTCTAGGCAAATTTACGTCTAGTAGTTTGCCATAATTGAGCAATTGCTGATGTAAATTTTTGTAGCATTCTCACCCGCCGCCAACCAATGGCGACAAATAGGCTAGGTTACCATAGTCGCCAAATACCCTAGCTACTAAGTAAACAAGAAGTAGGCTTAACATGATTTTCATCTGGTTGCAAAAATATTTTTGGGAACGTCAAATCTGGAAATGGTTGATGACAGACTGTTAGTTTCACATTCTTGGCTGAAGTAAGTCGCTAGAGATCCATTTGCTCGATTACCGCTTAGACCTCTTTAAGAATAACTATGGTATAGATGCCAATGCTTTTCAACGTGTACACAGTGGTGACAACTGAGCAGCAGTTGCACTAAAGTGGCAGAACCTTGTCATTTGCTGATGACCTCTTAGTCTATCCACATTGAAGAGATAGTCAAGAGACTGCCAAGTGAATGCAGAGTGAACTTAATCACATCTCCTCCTATTGTGCAGATTCTAATGCTCGTGTCAACTCTTCGAAGGCTTCAGTAACGTGGTTTTCTTTAAACAGGCATATAATGAAGGCAGACTTATCAAAAGTGGAAAGCAGCGAGGACATTTTGATGAGAACAAACATGATGACATATCTTGGAGTGAGGTTTGATCGCAGCCTATCCTTCAAAGAACATGTTGACCATGTCACAACAAAAGCACGCAAATGCCTGTCAGCAATGAGGGTCCTGGCCGCCGCTAACACTGAGCAGAGACTGCTTCTGCTTCTGTTCCAGGGACTTGTACTTTCTCCCATCAAATGTGCTCTTGCCTTCCTCACTGTCAGAAATACTCAGACTGAAAGACTTGAGAAGGTGCAAAATGATGCAATGCGTATTATTCTAGGGTGCACTGGAGACATTTCTTGTGTAGCAATGAGGTACCTCCTTGACTTCCCTACCACAAACTACAGGATCAAGATCTGGAGGGCTAGTGTACACCTCAAGATAAGCTCAGATCTAAAGCATCTTTTGCACCACATGCTCTTCTAGAAAAAGGGCAATAGGCTTAAAAGGGCCAAATCATGGCTGGGTAGAACAGAGGATGACATCATGCAGGTTTGCAGCCTTACAGACATCCATCAAGGTGAGGAGAGGATACCAGCATCTAAAGCACCCAATCTCACATTCTCCTGTGTCGTGACGCTTGATAGGAATTGTCATGAGCAGAATCCAGCTTCTGTCAATGTCGAGGTTTGCGCGCTTATCCGTGACATGTCAAATGAGACAGATGTGGTGATCTTCATAGACGGGTCTGTTATACGAGAACATAGGAGTGCATGGACATTTACAGATCACCCTTTAGGCAGCCAGCGGTGCTTCTCCATGATCGCCAGCAGCATGACGATGGAGGTGACGGGGATGACAAAGGCTTTATGTGGCTAGGATCACAGGACTATTCTCGCGCGTGTGTGCTGAGTGATTCTTTGAGCATGATCTGGCGGGTCGAGGCAGGCTGGTTACGCAGACAGTGGCTTGAGTCGTTGAAAAAAACTATCCTATGTGTGCAGTTACTTTCGTATTCGTCCCAGGGTATGCAGGCGTTGTCGATAACGAGGGAGCTGATAGACTGGCAGGTGCTGCAATAATTGAAGATGGCCGGCCCATGGATCACGCAGACATTGTCATCGCCCTTAGAAAGATAGGACGTTCTGAGTATTTTGGAAGCAGTGTGTCCACATCACTGATAAGAACACGCGAATTGGGAGTAAAGATCGGCACAGCCAAGCATGAAAACGTCCCGGACACCACGAAGTCTTGTTAACCAACATAGGACTGGCACTATTAACCGCACGACGCGGATGAATCTGAGCGCCTGTAGATGTGTCTGGAGTGCTGTGAAGATAATCTAACTCATAACTCTTATTTCTTGCTCAGTGAATCAAAGCAATTAGGCGTTCGTGGCTTAGGCGTTGCGAGTCCGACTCGTAATTCCAACAAACCACGATCGAAACCCCAGCTGGCTGAGTGGATTTGTTTTAAAGTATGGGGGCGTCGCAGGTCGACCCAGCCTAAAATATGTACCAGGATGGATGTCCTGGGGAAGTAAAGATGGCCGGCGAAATGCTGACCACATAAGACACCTAGTGTCGATTGGTCTGTAAAAATATGAGTGCTCTTTCCATTTGCCTTTATGCGCCTAAGGCGTGAATAGGAATCGTTATTTTACTACTTACTACAACATGCGGCAAATTTAGAATAACAAAAACACTGATTTGTTGCAGTTTTGTGACAATTTTTCCTCGGGAAAATGGGGGGGCGGGGGTGGGGAGGGGGTCGTAAAAAGAGTGTCGGTATAATATTAAGCATGCTACTTTATCACTTATATACCTGTACCAATTTTTTTTTTTTTTTTTTTTTTTTGATTTCCAAGAAACTGTAGCCAATTTCGTTTCTGTCATATTTAAGTTTAGCACCTTGAAAAAAAAAATTAGCTATTTTTATCTAGGCTATTTTTAATTCTGTGCCATGACTTTCAATAAATTGTGTTGTCGACCGTTAGGTTTGCTGACATTGGATTGGTTGGACTAAAATGTGCAGATGTTGCAGCAGTATTGCAAACCATAACCCAATTGCAAACCGCCGTTCACTGTGTAGCATCTTAGCCATAGAGCCACATACTTTCTAAACATTTATGGGTTTTTACCGTTCAAATAGTTGTTAGGATTACCGCTCGCCCAGTCGTTGAATGAACCAAGAGTCCTATTGGTAGACCATCGCCACCGCCCCTCAGTTTGTCTATCAGTCAATCCGATCCAAGCTGTGCCAACTGGAAAGAAGAATGTGAATGGTTATAAATGAAGCAACAAATAATGCGTGCATTGGTTTAAACTAACATAATATACTTCTGCCCTTTTTAGGACCTATACAGTTGTTTTGTCATTCCAAACTGCTGTTCCATCTATTACTCTAACTCCTGCTGCCTTTTAGCAATATTATTTTAACTTCCCGGGTCAAAACATTGATTAACTTCTAAAGAATATAATAAATTAAAACTAACAACTTCACGGTATTCAAAGAGTTATTGAGTGATAAAAAAACGAAATGTCTCGATTGTTGGCTTTGAATCGGATTATGTTACCTTTTTGTTATTTATGCACCGCAAATAATGCAGAATGAAAAAGTAGATGTTTGTCTACTTTAAAAATTGATTTTTAAGAAGTTACATATCAAATTTTTACAGATTACACCAAACGGTTACTTAATAACATATTATTTTAAAGTTAGACACGACTTCTGTGACGGACTATCACGACGCCACAGGGCATGAGCAACAAGAGAAGACAATCTGTGTTATTTCCACGAAAGTCTTCCCACAGACCGCCCATATACACACAAGCTCACTTCTGATTAGTCGACCATCAGTCACCCGACCTTCTCACACTGCTACGGGGGGTGTTCGGCAATGCCGTTGAAATCGCTTGTTGTATATTTAAGCACGACGGCTCATTCAACACTACAAAAACATTTCGAAACTTGGTCTAACACACAACTCCCCCTTGAAAGTGGTGCAACTTTTGTCACATGCATTCTCTTCCTTAGAAGAAAAACGTAATAACAAGACAAGCCAGAGAGAAAACAACATAACGGCAATCTGTAATACCCCTGGACAGCAGACCAGTCTAAAAAGATTATGAATGGAACATAACCTAGTTTGTGGTGGTTATCGTGGAACTGACCATAATCTGTTTTAGTGTAGAAGGTCCCACTGTGCGTTTCCTCGTCATGTGATAGTATGTTGAGTTTGATTTTTACACTTAAAAAAAAAACAAATTGATATATACACGCACATACATACATAAACAAACATCACTCGCTCACACAACACGGGTGACAATGTAGCGCACAAATGTATTTTAAAAAGCTACTTTCATTTTTCAAAAATGTGGACATTTTATGATCATATGTTATTGTACGGGGTGCTGCGCGGTCTCGAAGCATCGTGTGTGCCTACAGTGCTAGAGGTTCCAGGTTCAATCCCCGGTAAGGGCTGGGATTTTGTCACGTGGACGCACTTCTACTAATTTCCCCTGTGAAATCGGACTCCTGTGTGCATAGTTGCGCAGGTAAAAAAATCCCTTGGCAGTTAGAAATCGAAACGAGTAGCCTAACGGCGCTGCCTAGACAAAATTTGCAGTTACAAATTTACCCAAAGTAATTTCAGTTTCCGTGCCCGTGCTACAGAGCCTTCTTCAACCCTCAATTCTCATGTTGTAAATTATTTAATAGACATTGATTCCTGGCTAACAAAAAAACAAAACGAAAACAACAACAACAAGCTAACTTTAATTCGTGGCCACTTGCCTGATCCTGAGTGGGCTGACAATTGGGCTACAAGACACATTTCAGTGAAAATGACAGCACAGAACAATCTTCTACCCGCCTGGTTGATGTACATTCGAATTTACTTAAAAGTCGGCATGCTTTTGTTTATTACCATATATATATATATATATTTGAAGAATGTTTTTTTTTAACATGAGAAGTTGAGTTCCGTCTAATATCCTCCAAAGTGTAAGCAGTCAGCATGATATTCACTGTATCACATTTCGGATTATGTTCAGTAAATGGAGACGTGTATCTAGCAACATAACGACTTGGACAATGCTGATATTCAGAATGCTCTACGAGAAGTAACACGATTGCAAGAACCAAGTGATGAATGTGAATCTGCAGCTTTAACCAGACTGCAAGAACATGTTAGGAAGGGTAGGGCAAGAGCACTATGCAGGAAGCCAAAGAAGAATAGGAAACCACAACGGAACTGGTGTCGCCAGCCGCTAGACGCTGTGGGATATACGAAGGAGGAGTTTCGGGCAATTATTGACTGAGTGGTTCAATGTGCAACAAGGATTATCTGTCAATTAACTAACTAACTAACTAACTAACTAACTAACTAACTAACTAACTAACTAACTAACTAACTAACTAACTAACTAACTAACTAACTAACTAACTAACTAACTAACTAACTAACTAACTAACTAACTAACTAACTAACTAACTAACTAACTAACTAACTAACTAACTAACTAACTAACTAACTAATAACTAACTAACTAACTAACTTAACTAACTAACTAACTAACTAGCTAACGGAACACACCCTCAATCGTAGACAATCTGTTTTAACCTTTGTGTGTGGAGTAAAAGCGAACAGCATAATGTTGACTAAATGGTGCAGTTTTACAGAAATATTCTTACAGTTCTCGGACAGTTAAAGTAAGCTACTCAGATGTTTTTAAAAGAGGCGAGGACTCTAAAATAACTGTTCACAAACATCAGAAGCAGACTTTTGAGATTTGATCGTGATAGACAACTAAAACTGGAACATGTTGTGACAAGTGTACAGGTTCAGGACATGAGCGTTTGGGGAAGGCAACACGAGAAAATTCTTTATTACCTGTTGTCATGACATGGAAAGGTATGGACACATAGCTAACTATTGCTGCTAGAGGTGGTCGACTAGTGAGACACGTTGTCGCCAATGCCGGTAGGTTGGTAACTTTATGTTGATGATAATAATGATGACCATATCACATAGTGCTGAATAGTGCAAAACAATATTCATTATCAAGCGCTTTGCCGACTGGAGTGGGCAATAATGCCTGTCAGGAGACGAAGTTAGTCTCCCATGTATCAGTATGCATTGTTAGTAAGGAAAGCGATTTCGATCAGTTCTACAACTGGGGAGATTTTGCAGATCCTGGCTCACAGGTCAGAGGTCGTTGCTAGGTGTGATGTCTTAGTCCATAATTATTGAGCAACCACAGGACAAGGGAGTTCCAAGAATTTACTGTCCCAACTGCATGCATCAGTTCGTGTGCTGACGCCCTCCATGCCAAGACAAAAGCATAAAAAGAATCTGCTCGAGCTGTCTTCCTCTATGTCTTCTTCTCTAGTTCTTTCAGCTCTCCTTCGAACTTCGTCCCCATATTATGGCGGCCAAACAAATACCCTAAAAGGGCCTCCGTCATATGCAAATTGCTGGGCGCCTGCAGTGAACAAATCGTGGCAAAACTAAAATTGCCTCTGTATAACAGCCCAATATTATCGAGGGCAAACAAATACTCTAACATGGTCTCAGCAATATGTTAATTGCGGACCTGTTTCTGCAACTATGCCGCACTGCCGACGTTGTTTACCACGCCGCTACGCGTAGCGTGGTTAGAGGGGCTAAACTAGATGGCTGGGACTCACGAGCAAATAAATTGGTGATGCAGTAGCTGCTGCTCGTGTGTCCGAGTTATCTGGTTTAGCTCTCCCCCCCCACCCCCCAATCCGCGCTACGCGTAGCGGCGCAGGGGATACTCTCGGCGGTGAGTTTAGTCGGAAGAACACTATTGCTAACCTACGTCAGAGCCCGTGGTCTCGCCGCCATTTACCTATTATTGTGTATTGTTGCGTTTCTCTACACTGTCAACGGACAGTAGTCCTAGTTTTCTCGCGATGTGTTCGTCGAAGAAAGTCCACGTTTTACACACGACTAAGGCCCTGTTGGGGTATTTCTTATTTCTTTGGCCGCCCTAATATGGGGACGAAGTTCGAAGGAAAGAGGATCTTTCCGGTGGGAACAGCATGTTCCAATTTCCCTCTTCTCATTACATAACCAAAAAATGGCGACTGTCTCTTTCTGACGTTTGTGATAAGTTGTCTTTGAAACGTCCACTCTTTCAGACAGCTGGGATTCACTCTTTTAGCTGTACAAAGCGGTCTTCTGTAAAACAACATCTCTACTCAAGCAATTGTTCGGCATGTTTATCGTCCAGGATTCACAGCCGTATGCTAAAACTGGCTCTATAGTCCCAGCGAATTCTTTTCTTAACACACATGGATTTATTGCATAAAATCTTCTTTATGTAATAAAAGGCAAACCTGGCCTGTCCTATTCTATTCTTTGTCTCTGTGATACATCTTCAGCGGATGTGATCCGTGTGCCTCGATAATTAAATTATAAACATTTTAGCCTAGAGAAATTATAGCTCAGATGCCTCGCCTTTACTTTCTTCGTACAAATTCACTTGTAGTCTCCTGCTCCTTTTTACCTTTCTATCACTATCACTGCTGTCTGTAAGTACCAGTTTTTAATGGCGATGTAGACAGAGGTTTAAGGGCTTGAGGAGTTAGGCCCGTACGGCTGGTGTTTTCGCCACGAACTGTTCAGATTAGGATGTTAAATATTGCACCGAACAGAAAATTTCATTACCTTACAGCGCGACGATCCCGGATCTCCGCATATTGTAACGGCTCGACCGGTCGCTCTTTAACGTTCACAGACAATTGGAAGATGCTGGTTCTTCGACTACATCTAGGCTCTGGTATTATTCTGAAACCTGAGTTTTGCGTGCGCCTCAATTTCACAAGTCAGGCTTATTTGTATGTTGGGTCCATATCTGTCAGGCAGATGTACTCCTGCTTTAATGTAAACAATTCTAATTGGATGTTTTTTACTAGTTTCTTGTTAGATACAGTGAGTCTGGGAGTTCCCGTGGCGGAGCGGATAGACGCTCGCTGCGGATCGGAAGGTCGTGGGTTCGCTTCCTGGAGGAGCTGAACTTTTTTCAAAAATGACTTTGGCTTCCAGGTCTACCAAGCCTTGAGTGGGCACCGGGTGCAGTCCCGGGAAGTAGAGGCGGCCGGCATAATGCTGAACACATTACCCATCTTGAGCCGATGTCAATAAAAATATAGGTCTAGCCCTATATGCCCTATACGCTTAAAGGCGTGGAAAAGGGTCATTTACTTTACTTACAGTGAGTCTCCTCTTAT